CCCCAAAACCCCAAAACCCCAAAACCCCAAGAATCTAATATTTAAGATTTTGGTAAATAAGACGAAGATATAATTATAAATTTGAATTTAAAATGGCAAGTTCTATAGTATTTGTCAACTAAAAAGGTGACATATTAATTTATCGCCGCTACAGAGATGATGTGAGGTAACAACAATCATTCTATTATTGCCTTTATATTTATACTATTACCTTAGTCGCCAAGAAACTATGAATTTTTGCAACAAGATCGTAGCAACTAAAGCAGCTAAGGAGACTCCAATCATATGTTTAGATGGAGTCAGCTTTATTCATTCCACTTTTAATGACCTCACTGTGCTTGCTACCTCTAAAGGAAATATAAATGCTGCACTTATTATGGAGTTCATTAGAAGGTTTGTTACTGTTTGCAAGTCTTATTTCAATAATGAATTCAATGAGGACTAAGTGAGAAAGAACTTTGCACTGATCTATGAACTTTTAGATGAGGTAATGGATCATGGATTCCCCTAAATTCTTGATCCAGATCTACTCAAGATGTATATTACTCAAGGCAAGCAGACTAACCCTAATTTGAATGTATTAAACTGCTTACAATCTAATTCTGAATTAATAGGATATCCAAAAGCTAAAGCAAATTACTATATAAGCCACTGGAGCAATCTCATGGAGAGCAGAAGGTATAAGATACAAGAAAAATGAAGTCTTTATCGATATTGTTGAGAATGTCAATGTACTTCTATCAAACAGAGGCACTGTTTTGAGAGCTGATGTTCAAGGTCAGGTGTTAGTAAAGACTGCTCTAAGTGGAATGCCTGAATGTAAATTTGGAATTAACGATAAATTACTCATCAAAAATTCAGCTGCTAACCCAACAAAGCAGGATCGTGGTATACAGATCGATGACATTAAATTTCATCAATGTGTGAGACTAGGTAAATTTGACAGAGATAGATCTATTACTTTCATCCCACCCGATGGTATCTTCGAAGTTATGACTTACAGAATCTCTGAAAATATTAATCTTCCTTTCAAAATTGTACCAGTTGTTTAAGAATTCCCAGAACAAAATAGAGTTGAGTTTAGTGTCAAAATCAAAGCTATCTTTGAAAGAACCAATTTCGCTAATAATGTCGTTGCCACTATTCCAGTTCCCCCTAATACAGCTAATTGCAAAATTTACTCAGCTGGAGCTGGCAAAGCTAAATATGAACCAGACAAGAATGCTATTTTGTGGCGTATTAAGAAATTCCAAGGAGATAATGAATTCCTTATGAGCGCTGAGGTTACTACCACTCCATCAAAAAGCGATAAACAATGGAACAAACCACCCATAACACTTAATTTCTAGGTAACACTTCTATTATAGCAAAACTTATTAATTAGGTACCTATGTTTACAGGCAGTGGATTAAGAGTAAGATACCTCAGAATCTAGGAGAAGAGTAACTATAAACCAACTAAGTGGATTAGATATATAACCTAGGCTGGAGACTATCAGCATAGAATATGAATTAGTTAGGCTTTCAAAGAAATAGCATAATTTTACTTTGAGTTTAAAACATAATAATCATAAATATCCGAGCATAATATAAATCCAAAATATGTAAATTATGCGATTGATGGGGTTTTGGGGTTTTGGGGTTTTGGGG